TCCACTGCTGAGCCTGGCCTCCCAAAGTCTCCATCATGCCCTCTCACTGGTTCTTGAGAAAAATGCTCCTTCTCAGGCTGGTGGAGAGAATCTCTCTGCTTCTGGGCGAGCTTCATACATTTGGCTTACATGGAGCTTCCCTCACCTCTCAGCTCCATAGGGGAGCTCTGGTCACTCTGTGTTTGCTACCATAAAAATTGGGGGAGGGAGAGGTGAGGGCATTTCTGTTGATGTTCTCATGAAATGTCCCTTGTGATCATTTACTTCCATTTTTGTGTGTTTCACATGACATGAAATATTCCATCCTAACCATTTGTAAAAGTTCGATTCATCTTCCCAGATTCTCTGTTCTGTTTTTTTTTACATCCTGAATTATGGAACAGAATCGAGTGGGAATATTGTCCTGATCTTGCACTTAGTATAAGTTCATTTAGTGTAGGTTTCTTCTCCTTGGTTGTTGCTATCAAATTCAAATTGACAATGTCTATCTTTTAATTGTGGCGTTTAGGCGGTTTCCTGACTGTGAGTGGTAACATAGTTTATTAGATCACGTCTTGCTTTTTATTTTCTTTATGTTCCATGTTTTCTCTATTCTCCTTTTCCATTTATTTCTTGTTTTTGAGTAACAGAATATTTCTTACAATCTATTTTATTTCTGTTTTGGCTATTTAGCTGTAACTCCTTGCTGTCCTGTCATCTGTGACTTGTCACAGGCTACATTTAGGTGACGCCACTCCACGTGACAGAGAGCATCAGCCATTAGAACCCACTTCCCACTCTGTCTTCTCAGAGCTGTGGTAGGAATGTCATATCCATTACTGTTAGCTACGTGATAAATTCCAACATACGCAGAGATTAGATCAAAAATTCTTCATATTTATCCCTGTAGTTATCCTTTCTGACTCTTACATTCATTTTGTAGATTTGGATTCTTTCTGGAATCACTTCCTCCTGCCTGAGGGGAGTCCAGTATTATTTCCTGTGTTAGGGGTCTGCTGATGATCAGTTCTGTCAGTTTGGTATATCTGAAAAAAAAATTTATTTAGCCTTTATTACTAAAGGATATTTTCCCTGGATAAAAACATAAGTGGTTTCTTCTTGTTTTTCTCAGTAGTTTGAAGATGCTAATCCGCTGCCATCTGTGTGCATTTCTGCTCATGAGAAATCAGTCTGAATCCTTATCACTGTTCCCCTGAAACAAGTATCTTTCCTCTCTGGTTGCTTTTCACACTGTGTCTTTCTCTCTGCCTTAAACAATGTGATACCTGATGGGTGTTGGGCTGTTGTTCCTCCCACCCCCATATCTCTTTGCTTGGGGTTTATCAAGAATTTGTAAACTATAGGTACTGAATTTTCATGAAATTTAGTACATTTGTGGCCAATGATTCATCAAATATTCTTTTCCACCCCTCCACCCTCACTCCCTGGGTTCACAAGCACATGTGCATGACGTTGCTAACATTTTCCTATATTCAGTGCTGGTCTGTTCAACTATAAACTCTTTTTGTGTCTTTCACTCTGCGGTGTCTGTGCTGTGTCTTCAGATTCCCTCACGTTCTTCATCTTGTCACGTCTGGTGCTAATCTCAGCCCTTGTATTTGTGATCTGAGATGTTACAGTTTTCATCTCTAGCAGTTTGATTGCAATCCTTTAATTTTCTTCTCTGTCTCTTCTTTGCATTTCAATCATTAGAGTAAATTTGGATGAAAGTCTGCAACACTGTCCTGCTTTCCATGCACAGCCCTCTGTCCTGTCCGGCAGCTTCCAGACCTGCCGCCCCAGGACCGCCTGGGCCCATTCACAACGTGAGTGTCTCTCCCACTGTCTCTGTCTCTCTGTGCATCACAGATAAATACACACATACATGAACATGACATCCATGTCCTATTGGATCTGCACCCTCTAGACATTCCTAAGTCATGCACCTCTTTAGCTCTCGCTTTTTGTTAAAATGGTTTTATTTTAATGCTTTCTTTAGAGTTTACAGTTCTCACCTCCTACCTTAAGAAAGTTCCTCCCAGTGATATGACATCACTCACGTGCAGGATGAGGACCTCATAACATGGTCTCATCTTCCTCATCATTTGTGCTCTCATTGTCACGTGTATTATTTGTAATCCATTATGAATCAAACACATTGCTATATATTTTTTTGCTTTAAGCAGTTGACTTTTATATACATTAACCATTAACATTGTTTGTATATTTATCTTTGTAGTTATGACACCAGATGCTTTTTATTTCTTTGTGTAGGCTCACATTTCCTTCTGTCACCCTTTTCTTCCATCCGAGGGCCGTCCTTCACTGTCGCTTGTGCTGAGGGTCTGTGGGTGATCAGTCTGGGTGGTTTGCAGTCTGAGAAAGGCTTAGTTGTGTTCAATTTTCAATGCCATTTTCCCTGGGTAAGGAACAAACTTAACAGTGCTTTCTATTAAGATTTTGAAACCATTGCTTCCCTGTATTCTTGCTCACATGGCTTGTAATGAGAAAGGTGCTCCCAGCACGACGCTGGTTCTCTGTAGGGAACACGACTCTCCTCTCTGGCTGTGAGAGTATCTGCATCACTGGTTTGTAGACATTTCATCCGATGTGTGCTGGGCTGTCTCTCATGTTCCCTGTGCCTAAGCTTCGCTGAGCTTCGTGAATACATTGGTTCCTGGGTTTCTCCAAATTTGAAGCCTTTCTGTAAATTAGATCTTCACAGATTTTTTGCTTCACCTTCAGTTCCTTATCTTCCCTCCCACAATCCTTACACTTGCACATTGTCTGGGTGGTGTGAAGGTGTCTTCCAGGCACCCAGCCTTTATAATGTCTTTAGGGTTTTTGCTCTGTATATCATTTTGAATAGTTTCCATCACTGAGACATCAAATTCTATAATCTCTTCTTTGGCGGCCTCATATCCGTTGTCAGTCTCTCCTGTGTATTTCTTAATTTCGGACCATTTAATTTAGCAAAGATTTAAAAGATTTGGACTTTGAAAAATATCTTCCATATCTGCTCCTAAACATTCAGAGGAGATGGAGTTCCGAAAACTGTTTACAAATCCCCTGCCGATCCACCCTGGAGGGTTGGGAGGAAGGGGACAGATTGGGGACCTCATACCTGGGGACCTGGGTCAGAGCTGCTCATTGCTTTGTGCACAGGCCTCCTGGAGCTGGAGGAGGGTGGGACACATACAGGGAAGGGGTTGGTGTCTCACTCCTTGGCTGGCCTGGCCACTGAGGCCTGAGAGGTGGAGTAGTCTTTATTTTCTGATCCCATTCTATACCTGGCACTATGAGGCTTTGCACAGGTTCAGGGTCCAACCTAGATCACAGCTTGTGGGCCAGAGACCAAATAAAATTCATCTTCCCTCAAGAGCACATGGCGTTTCCAAAGCCATCACGGTGCTGTTAGTGCCTGCTCTCAGCTGTGAGTCCCTGCAGCAGGTCACAGGGGTTGTGCCTCAGTATCCCTCTTTTGCAGTCAGGGTCAGGAACAGATCAGGTGCAAAAAGAAATATTGTCATATAAGAGAATGAGAGAGGACCTCAAAGTTTAGTAACTCTTAGAGGGAAGGGTTGTCATAAGTAACTTGTCTTCACATTTGGGGAAAAATATATAAGAAATATCTTAATCTATAAGTTAAGTCAAGAAAAGCTTACCGAGAAAATAACTGTGTTGCAGAAACTGAGAAAGGGAAGAACATAATTTTCCAGTCCCCTGTAGGAAGACCTTCTAAGAAGGAGGAAGAGCTGTGTCCGGCAGGACAGGGGACTGTCAGCACAGGGAAAGGAGGGGGAAAGGAAACATGTGGTCACAGGAAGGGTGAGTGTTTGTGGACAGTGACAGCATTTTGTTTCATTAGGATGGGCTAGGGCTTGGGTTGGTGGGGGACTTTTTGGCTGCACCTGTATTGGAGAAATAGGCAATGTCTCCATGGGCAAGACCGTACACGCAGGTACCCTGAGGAATTTGTACTGGAGAATGAGGGATGACGCTGTAGATAAATGGCCAAAGCCAAATGACCTGAAGGCCTCAGGTACTGTTTAGGACCCCGGGCTGCGTGTCAAAAGCCCTGAAGCCCAAGCCCTCTGCATCTGCAGGTGGTTTTGCCAGGTGATCCCTGCTGTCCCCTGGTGGCCGATCCACACTGCCTGCTGGAAGGGCAGGCATAAAGGTGTAGATTGATAAACCACAGCTCAGTTTCTGAGTCCTGATCCAGTGAGGAATGACTTTTCTATGCATGGCTTCTGCGCCTGCCTCATATTCTGACATGAGGGTCCCAGATTACTCATGAAAACATGAACAGGCTCATTTGGAGGAAAGAGGACTGGTTTCACTGAGGCTTCCCTGCCCATGCGTTAGCATTGGGGAACCCAGTACTTAGGGGATGGCTCTTTCTGGTGCCAACTGTGGATGCAGGGCTGATTGTGTGTGTGTGTGTGTGTGTGTGTGTGTGTGTGTGTGTGACCAGGGACTAATGTCCCAAAGACAGAGAGAGGAGAGCGTCCACGCAGCACACATATGTTCAGACCCACATTGGTCTGGCCCACATTCCATCCTGGGCATTCTGCATGAACAAGACACAGTGCCTACTGAAGAGGGAACTCTGGCACTGGTCTGGTCAGCAAGAGAAACAAGCAGTAAGACATGTGAAGAAAGCCCTGTCCTGACTTCAGGTAGGTGCTGAGGTTGGGAGGGATAGTCGTGTGGAAGAACAGGACAAATCTGAGAGGTCTGAGATTCAATTCCAGTTCCAGGCCTGTGTGGAGATTTCTCTTAGGTTAGCCCTTGGGGCACAGAAGGATGTGTCCGGTGTGTAAGGGGCAATTTCCAGGTAATAAGTCACGTCCTCTGCGCAGCTGCTGGTAACATTGAAGGGCCTCCAGGAGGAAGCGGCTGAGGTAGGAACAGGTTTGGCACAGCGGTGCTCAGTGCCTGGGATCTCCCTAGGTCACCTGGGGGCTGAGGTCGCTCAGGGCAGTGGTTATCATCCCTCCCCTCCCCCCAATACACACCTAAGCCACAGGGACACCAGGGTGCTCCACGTGCTCTGATATTGTCCCCCCATCTTGTCCCCTGTCGATGACCTGCACTGCTTTCCCCAGCATCCACAGACTGGCCAAGCTGAGCTGGAACATGAGGGAGGGGTGCACCTGACAGGGAAGGGAGCCGGGAGAGGAGTCCAGGTCCCCGGAGAGGGAGAGAAAAGAGCAGAAGCCAGCAGGTGCAAGGCAGCAGCTTTCCCCTGCCCCAGGCCAAGAGGGGAGGTGGGCCAGCCTCAGCCAGAACGTTCCAGGTCCAGAAGGAGACAGCTCCTTCCTCTCAGTTCTGCCCGCTGCCTGTGGGGGCGCTGCTGCACTTGGCCACAGTGACACCTGCTGACCAGGGAGGTACCCGCCCGTCCATTCATGGTCATGATGCTGAGAAAGCCTCTGGTGGGAATCTCCAGATTATAATTCCCTAGAGGGACATTGTCATGATCCTTTAACCTGAAAAATCCCTTGACATCTTATTTTAGTCATAGGGATACCCATTAAGAAAATCATCTTTGTTTTTTTTGTTTGTTTTTTTGTTTGTTTCATTAGGTCAATAAGTAAATTTTATTTATTTATTTATTTATTTATTTATTTTTAAGATTTTATTTATTTATTTATTTGAGAGAGAGAGAGAGAGAGAATGAGAGAGCATGAGAGGGAGGAGGGTCAGAGGGAGAAGCAGACTCCCCGCTGAGCAGGGAGCCCGACTCAGGACTCCCGGGACTCCGGGATCACGACCTGAGCTGAAGGCAGTCGCTTAACCAACTGAGCCACCCAGGCGCCCCAATAAGTAAATTTTAGATGAAAGATTCCAATGGCACTTGATATGCTTTTGTGAGGAGAAAATGGGTTTTCTTCTCACAACTCCTTTGAAGATATCGCTCTGACACAAGCCAGGGTGTAAATAGGGGAAGCTTCTGCTTTTCCTTCTTAATAAATTCCTCCTCTGTCATTTGGACCTCATGCTATGCTCTACAAATCAAATTCAAAACTGCAAGTGAAAGATTCATGAAGAGAAATTCAAGTTATGATATAATTTTATTCACATCTTGGAAAAGGTCTCTCCCCTTGGTACTATAGGTGAGGCCCGAATGCAGCCGTGGCCACCACATGGGGTCACATGGGGTTGGGCGTGAGTCCATGTGGGTTGGACCTGAGCTAAGGGTCAGACCTGCCTGGTGCAGGTGACTTGGGGCAGTGGGAGGACCGTGGTGCCAGGAGAAAGTCCCCTGTGGACCCCAAGGTGGTGTCTGCACTTCCTCCAGAGTTTCGTAAAATCTGAGGGCAGGGCCTAGGGCAGCAGGGGCCTGGTCCCCTCTTCAGGAAGCCTCAGGCAGCCCTTCTGCATGTGAGGACAACTCATCCAGGAAGCAGAGGAGACACAGCCCCTGGGGCCCACCTAGGCTGCCTGGACCCAAGGAGAAGAGGAATTCCCGCAGGACTGTGCTGCCTGAGGCAGCTGTCTCCCCTCCCGAGTGATGCGTGATTACATCTGGGGTCCAAGTGATGTGCAATGACATCCTAAATCTTTGCTCTCAACTGTGAAACTCAACAACAGTCCCCGTAGTCAGAACAGCCCCCCACTCTGCCACTGTTCAGTAGGATAAACACAGACTGGAGGATAGAGAACCTGCTAGAGTCTCCCACTCTGCAGGGGCCAGGCTAGGATCAGGGAGGATACCTGATCTGAAGGCCTGAGTAGCCATTGCTCAGAGAGCAGGTGAGAGAGAGAGAGCCAGGCCATGGAGGAGGGTTTGTGCACATCCCTCTCTGTCACTGTGAGTCACGGCCAGACACTCTCACTGTGATGATAGGTGACACAGCAATGAGCAGCCTTGTCCTGGCCCTTGTGGTCCTGGTCATGCTCTGGTGAGGCATGTCCTTTAGTTGTATCCTCAGAATCAGCCAGCAGGTGCAAGGCAGCAGCTGTCCCCTGCCCCAGGTCAAGAGGGGAGGTGGGCCAGCCTCAGCCAGAATGTTCCAGGTGGTCACTCACATCTGTATATATAACCAGCGCGGGGACCTGGTGTGGCTTCTGCTGGTATCAAGATTCAAGTTCACTCCTGAGCTCATCTCCAGAGCAGGGGATCCTGGGCCTGCCCAGGGCCACTGACATGGATGGAGGTGGCCTCAGGTCAGGGGAGCCTCGCAGCTTATGAGAGGAGCAGAGAAGGGCCTGGACGAAGACAGGGAGGCTGAGTCAGAAGTGACTGGCCCAGCCCTTAGGGGAGGGAACAGTGTGGACACAGTGAGGGCAGGGCCCTGACCCCATGGACCCTGAGTGGTAGGGAGCAGGGCACCTGTCCCTCACTCTGTGCCTCTCTGTGGGCCTCTCACCTGTGCTTGGTGCAGCAGGGAAGCAGGGCGAAGCTACTCAGAGTGTGGTCCTCGGAGGACCAGCACCACAGGCTCATGCACATGCAGATGCCCGGGACCACCCCAGAGCTGCATCTGCATCTTGTGGAGCAAACCCTCCCCAGGGGACTATGTGCTCACCGAGTTTCACAGGCTAGGGGTTCAGGCCACTGTGGAAAGTCTCCCTTCCTCTCCTTGTCTTCCCAAGTCCTACCAGGCCACCTGGTTCTTGGGGCTTAACTGTTCCTCTCTGGTCACTGAGCTTGATTCAGATTCTAGACCCTGTAATGATGTGGAAAAGATGGTTTCAGAATAGACTTTTTCACCAGCCACCTGGGGTGTGCATTGTGGATGGGATACCCCAGTGAGATACTGACCGCACTGCTCTGGTGCTTGAGAAGGCACCATACCCCCACGCCCGTGTCTTCCTGGCAGTGAATCACCAGGAAAAGTAGGGGGCACTGGATAGGGGAATCCTGATGTCTATCATGGGGCAATTGGGTGTCTACAACACAACTGGGGTAAGCAGGTGCATGCATGGATTCAGGAGATCCCCAAATACTCCCTGGGACTGTGATTACAGTCATAAATTCATCACAATCCAATGCAGCAGGTCTGATAATGGACCCACCTTCCAGCTAAAGGCTTGCTTGTCCCACCTGGCAGGGATCATGACTAGCTCAGGAATTTTCTGTGGGCAAGGGGGACATGGGGTCTTGAAGAAGGTAATTAGCAACATCACTCTGACCACGAGGTAGTGGCAGAAATGAGCAGAGTGAAAGTAACAAGTGTCTCTTCCTTATGTTGACATGAATAAGTTTGGATACATATTAAGCATATGTTTCTCTTTTGTTCACCTGTGTCATCCCATTATCATCTATCATTAGATGTGTTAACACTAACTAGTAAACTATATCTCAATTTTGAAGTTATGGGATATCAAATCAGCAGGGACAAAAAAAAGGATCACTAGTAGACTAAAATGTATTTTGAATTCTCTTGTGGGGAAAGGGTGAGCATGTTTGTAATTGTTCATTGGATAGTTTCATCACATTAGGTAGAAACATGGTAGCCAACATTCTCTTTATTCAGAGACTGTGGTTTGTGTGGATCTGGGTGAGTGGAGCAGGGGGGACTGTGGTGGTTATTAACTGTCAGCATTGACAGGCTAAACTGTATTTCACAAAATTCCTTTCTGCATTTCTGGGTAGCGTGAGTGTAAAGAGAAATTCTTGGGCACAATTTGGAGGGTAGAAGTGAGGCAGAACCCATTGTGTGTCTCAGTCCCATGGTTGTGTATCTTCTGGCCACTTTGTAGGAGGAGGCAACTCTCCCAATGTCCCTCATTCACCATCAGGATGCATGTGACTCTCCAACTGTCTGTCAGAACCCAGAGCACCCAGTGTGTCTGCATCTTTTTCATTGTTTAAAAAGACAAGTAACAATGTGATCTGTGTGGGGATTGGACACGCACATTGTGGATTTGTGGGAGAAACCAGAGCTTTGTGTGTGTCCACAGGGGCCTCCTGAGGTCCTTGGGGACCATGGTGGTGATAGAGGCTATCCTGCATTGGGTTCCAGAATGCAGACTCTGAGGTGGAGAAGTGCATGTGTAGGAAATGTAGGAGCAGGAGGGAGGTCAAACTGGGCAGAAGGAAAAGTGACCCACACAAAGTGAGACATCAGGTGAGGCCTCATCCCTGCATGGGGGGCTTTAAGCTGAGACCTTCCAGGATATCTGTACTGGGGGTAAGGCCTTGGGACCTTGGCTTCAGGAAATATTCAACTGAATCTGTCTGAGAAGGGGCAGAAACTGGAGGAGGCAGTGTTCTGAACCAAGAGCACTTCCCAGGGAAGAGTTCCCCCATGAGCTTCCAGGGGTTCCAGGCAGAGGTGAGTGCGTGCGCGAGCCCAGAGGAGGGGTGACCACAGTGGGTAATGCACTGGTCTGCTCCACTCAGAGTCCCCAGCTGCCATGCTGCCAGGGCTTCAGGAGCTCAGCGGAGCTGGAAATTTCTGGTCATAATCCTGGCCAGTGGGGTGAAGGAGTGGTCCATGACCACCATATAGAAACGCAAGAATAATGACCAGTGTATTGATGCTTCTTTCTGTTTGTCCTTCCACCCAGTCCCTCTGTTTCCAAACATACTCAGGCCATGACAATATCGTAACCCCAAATCAAGCCACTCTCTACAGGTACTGCCTGAAGGGTGGATGGCTGGGAGGTCTGGGGACCTTGGACCTGGTGACCGGCGCCAGACCTCACTGCTCTGTGCACAGGCCTCCTGGGGCTGGGGGAGAGTGCGACACACACGGGGAAGGGGTTTGTGTCTCACTTCCCCATCTGCCTGTGTCACCGTGAGCATCAGCATTGCTGTCCCACACGTGACAGTAATAGTCAGCCTCGTCCTTGGCCCGGGCTCCGCTGATGGTCAGGGTGGCCGTGTTCCCTGAGTTGGAGCCTGAGAATCGGTCAGGGATCCCTGAGGGCCGGCTGCTATCACCATAGATAATCGTCACAGGGGCCTGGCCCGGCTTCTGTTGGTAGCAGGAAACATTTGTACTTCCAGTGTTGTTTCCCCCACAGGTGATCCGGGCTGTTTGTCCCAGGGTCACAGACACAGATGGGGGCTGAGTCAGCTCATAGGAGGCCACAGAACCTACAAGAAAGAAAAGGAGCTTTAGGTTTCCAGCTCTGGGTCTCATCCCCGGAACACCATCACCTGCCTGGCCTCCAGGGATTCTCCACGCCCTGTTTCCACCCTCCCACCATCTCAGCACCTGAGGCCCTTGGGTCCAGCTGGTGGATGGATTATTTGCCCAAAGGAGATCATCCTCATTTTTCTCTGCCCAAGTCAGAGCCAGTGAGCACTTGGGGGAATTACACGCCTCCAGTCTCTCACTGCATCAGGGTGAGGACCATCCTTCCCTTGACAAGCTGCTCCCTGCTTAGCTCAGAGTCAGGGCCTGGATTGCCCCCGATCCCTGGGGCTGCAGTGGGTCTGACCCTGGGTGCAGCACCTGTGCAATGAGCAAGGAGGCCAAGGAGGAGAGGGGTCCAGGCCATGGTGAAGGATTCTGCTCCCAGAGTCCTGTGCCTGGTCTGGATTGATCCCAGGCATCTCTTACGCCTTTCAGAGGGACAGGATGGTCATACAAATGAGCTGGGGCTCAGGGGCTGCTATTGAAGAGCCTTGTGGTTTCATAGAAGGGCTCAGCCTCAGGGGACACAGAGAGGGGAGGGCCAGCCCTGGAGGTCCACCCTCAGCCCAGGGGATTTTTCTTCACCTCCTGGTCCATAGCCTGGGGTGCCCAACTCCATCCTCTCCATGTCCTGACTCCACTCCCGAGCTGGTCTGTCCTGGCTGAGCGCAGAGGTGGAGTATGTCTGCATTTTCTGAGCATGATAGCATGTTTCCTCTGCAGGAACTAGGAGGCTTAGGTCAGTGCATTGCCTAAGCCATATCTGTGTTGAGGAGCATTAGAACCCGATCAAAAAGTTCTCCCTTGCCATGTGCATGTAGAGTTTTAAGGAGCCATTGAAGTGCTGTAGGTGTCTGTCCTGAGGGCTGGTCACAGATGTTGTGCCTCAGTATCCCCAGGGTGCAATGCATGCTGGAGCAGACACAGCTTGAGCAAAGATCGACAGTGACTGAGTGCAGCAGGAATGGGCTGGGTGGGGAGGCATGAAATCCTGGACCTGTGCTAGAGACAGAGACAAATTCACAAGGACACAAATATGGAGAGCCCCTGAGTCAGAATTTTACATCAGAGTCAAAGGTGATAGTGTAGAAAACCTGCACCCTTTCTTTCTGGTCTCAGGTCCTGGTGAACAACCGTCCCTGTTAGAACTCCTGATGCCAGACCCTCCCCATGGCCAGGTGGCTTGGCCAGGTGATCTCTGCTGCCCCCTGGTGGTCGTTCTCCGGGAGGCACAGGGAAGTCCATTGTCCAGGTGCAGATTCAGAACCCACTGCTCACATCCTGATTCCCAGATCCTTGGACTGCTGGCCCCAGGGAGGAATTACTCTTCTCTATGTGGCCCTTGCCACTTTCAAGGCCAGACTGCCGGAGATCTGAGTATCCATGAAAATCGGAAGAGGCCCATGTGAGGAGGAGAAGGCAAAGCCCATGTGAGGTATCACTGCTCCTACCATTGGGGTGGTGGGTCGTCAGGAGTGTGGTTCTGGGCTGGACACCAGGGGACACAGGACTCAGGCACTGCTTCTTACTGGCCCTGGTGGCTGGTGCAACAAAATAAGGTGGTGGTGGCTACAGCTCCAAGGACAGAGACAGGAGAACACTCACCTGGCTAACCTTTATTCAGACCCACTTTGGTTTGGCAGACTTTCAATCCTGGGAAATCTTTGTGAAGAAGATAGTTTCTCCCTCAGAGTTTCCATGTTGTGGGTGGGGTGCAATAGTGGACACACTTGTTTTGGTGAGACAGTAGACAGCCCCTACCACCTTTTACCTAAGTCTTATCTTCTATATTCATTTGAAAGCCAAACCATTGCTATTCCCACGTCCCTCTTGGCCAGCACTGACCTTGTGGTTCAGCACTGGCCAATGGATATGTCCTTCATCTGGTGATCTTTCTGGGGACTTTTACTGTCATGAAGTAAGGAGACAGACCAGATATATGGAGTGCCTTTCCTGGAGCTGCAACAGCCATGTGAGGTGTGTTGTCAGCAAGAATGAAAAGCAAAGCTCCATAGGTGAGATATTGGGGGGGAAAAGTGAGTAGATTTGGGACGTCATGGAATTGGTGAGTCTCTGGAAAGTAGCCATTTACCTCCAGACTTTGTTGGGAGGGAGTTTGTCTGTTCCTGCCTCTGATCATCATGGGTATGTTTTGCATTAACGTTTTTGTGACCAGTAGGGAAATAATGACCACAAATCAATGAACTAATCACATGATAGGGAAAAACCGTTCAGTAGTAGGTAATATGCATACAATTAAAATGGATATCAGGCAGATACTGTGTGGGGAGAAGCTGCAGGAGGCCTCTCTGGGGAGGTGACCCTAGAGCTGCTGTCAGTCAGGATGGGAAGAAGGAAGGGGCACGAGGACATGTGTTTGGGGACAGCAGGGTCAGTCCCTGCAGGGAAGATTCCTGTTTGTCTGATCCTGAAGGAACAGTGAGCACCTAAGGTGTCTGTGATTTAAACCTTGTCCGTTTCAAGGGAATATGTTCTTACAAATTAAAAATTGGGGGGCTGGAGTGATGTGTTGTCAGAATTCATTTTGCTGTTTGTTTCTGGTTTTGGTGAATCCCAGGAGTGGTTCCTGTGTGAATCTGGAGCAAACTGAAAGGGAGACAGCAGCCTTTTTTGTAGCTGACGGTCACTGTGGCTCATCTGCTGGGTGTTAAGTCTTTTTCTAATGAAGGATGTTGCATTTGTCAAATGCTCTTTCTGCTTCGATTGAGAAAATCATGTGAGTTTTGTATTTTATTCCATTGATACGATGTATCGCACGAATCGTTTTGTATGTTGAAACACCTTGTATTGTTGCAGTAAATCCCTCTTGTTCCTGGTGTCTAATTCTTTCTATATGCTGCTGGATTAAGTTTGATAGTGTTTTGTTGAGGATTTCTGTGCCTGTATTTGTAGGGGACAGCGGTCTATAGTTTTCTAGTGATGTGTACTTTTGGTATCAGTGTAACAATGGCTACATGAAATGAGTGGGGAAGTCTACCACATTCATCTATTTTTTGGAACCCGTTGTGAAAAATTCATACTACAGTTGAGTTTTGAACAAGCAGGTGTTAGGGGTGCTGACACAGGTGTAGTCTAAAACCTGCATATAACTTTTGATTCTCCCAAATTTTAACTACTAATCGCCTCCTCTTGACCAGAAACCTTACTGACGACATACACAGTGGATTAAGACATATTTTCGATGGTATATGAATCATATATTGTATTCTCACAAAAAAAGTGAGTCCAAAAAGAAAATGTTGTGCAGAAGAAAATTAGGGAATTAGGATAGCTGGTGCTGGTGTGTGGGGCCCAGGCAGCCCCTGCCCGGCCAGCACCATGTGAGCCTCTAGTGTGGACGGGCACTGTGCTCACCCTGTGCACCAGTTCTCACCAAAGGACATCGGTGGGGATATGTTTAATCTGCACAATCTGTACTTGTGCATTGTCACCAACAGGCCCTAACAACGTGGCAAACAGACACGAACTGCACTAAGCTCCTCGACCCGCAAGCCCCCTATGCTGAGTTGGGTTCGTGGAGCCTGGCCTTCCCTTGTGACCATCCGGAGAGGCAGCAACCAGGGAGTAATGTGCAGATGGGACAGTCCGCCGATGGCTCTAAGGCCAAATTCCATGAGCACAGCAAGATCTGAGTGACTAGGGAGGTCACCCACCCACTGTGGAAGGGGATGGAAGCCCAGCCCAAGGGGTGGAGCATGCAGGGGAATGCCATCAAATGGACCTTCACCAAGTTCCATATTGTCCAGAAAGCTGTGTGGTGACACGATAATGTCCCACAGAAGGGCCCCTGGTAATAAAGAAGGAACTTCCCTGCCGCCCACAGCTCTGCAGGCGTGCACCCCCCACCCAAGCCCACAGTCCCTTGGAGAGGTCCACACGGTACCCTTACTGTCTCCCTGAAAAGCAGGCTTCTGCTCTGGTGTAGACCCCAGACCAGGCAGGCACCCTCTACCGGAGCAATGTCCCTCCAGCTGCTAGCTGCTCAACACTCCCCACCCCTGGCTGTCTTGTGGGAATAAAACATACAGATTTGGGGGGAAAAGCATGAACAAGAGAAAATACATTTACATTACTGTTGCGTAAACCCTTGTGAGTAACTGGACTGGAGCAATTCAACCCGAGTTGGTCAAGGGTCAACTGTGTACCTCTCATGTTGCTTCTTTCTGGAGAACCTAACGAATACACCTCGTTAGATATAACTCTTTCTTACTGAAAGGTTTTAGTTTATCGTTGCTTTAGGGTTTACAGGAGCAATCTACCTTCCCCAAATCTACCTTCCAGTGATTTTATATCACTTTGCATAGAACATAAGACTATTTTAATATGTTTTTCTCACCCCACCCCCCAATTTGTGCTATGGGGATCCTGTGTTTTATTTTGAGATTCATCATGAACCAGGGCATATTGTTATTATGTTTGTCTTCACACAGTTGTCATTCAGAGACATTAATGTAAGACAGATGTTTAGGTTTGTCCATGTAGACCCCATGGCTGATTATCTTCATCCCTTTGTGTGGGTTCACATTGCTATCTGGTAGACTATTCCTCTCTGTGAGGAGTGTCTATCACTCGCTGTTGTAGCGAGTGTCTGTGGGTGGTCAATTATGTGACATTGTGCAGTCTGAAAGCTTTGTCTTGCTTCATTTTTGAGAGATATTTTCACTGGATAATGAATTGCAGGTGGACAGATTTTTCTTTTTTTACAGATACGTATTTTTTTTAAGATTTTATTTATTTGAGAGAGAGAGAGTGTGCAAGTGGGGCAGAGGGAGAGGTAGGATCAGACTCCCCGCTGAGCAGGCAGCAGGACAAGTGGCTTGATCCCAGGACTCCAGGATCTTGACCTGAGCCAAAGGCAGACGCTTCACCAAATGAGTCACCCAGGTCCCCCTACAGATACATAGTTTAATATCTTTCTTTCAAAAGGTATTTCTCCACCGTCTTCTTGCTTGCGTTGCTCATAGTAAAATCTGCTTTCACCATATTTACCCTCTGCATACCACCCGCATGTTCTCTCTGGCTGCTTCGCAGATGACTCTTCCACACCGGCGTTCAGCAATGTGACTGTGATGTGGATGACACTGTGGGTACTTCCTGGTTCCCAAGCATGAGCTTTGTTGAACTTCTTGAATATGTTGGTTATTGTTTTCACCAAATTTGTAATATTTCTGTCCAATATTTCTTTAAGCATCTTTTCTATTCCCTCCTGTCTGTCTTCTCTGCTCGGGGGCTCCAGTTACAAGTATAGTGGCCTGCATGAGGTGGTCCCGCAACCAAACGAGGCTCTGTTCATTTCTTACAGTCTTTTTTGGGGGGTCTTATTTCATTTTGAATGGTTACTACTTTGGTGTTGTGGAGTTCGCGAATCTCTTCTTTTGCAGAAACTAATCTGTTGTCATCCAGTGCATTTTTATTGTCAGACACTGACTGCAGTTTTCATCTCCAAAGTGAGATGTGGCCCCATTCAAGGGTCATCCACGTCTGCACTGAACATGTTCAGTCATGCTCTGCCTCTTCAAACAAATGGAGTCTCATTACAATGGTAATTTTTGTGTTGTCCCTCATACATCCTCTGTAGAGCCCGCCTGCGGGGCAGGGAGGAGGGAGCAGCCTGTGGACCTCAGACCTGGGGACCTGGGTTTGACCTGCTCATTGGTTTGTGCACAGGTGTCCTGGGGCTGGAGGAGAGGGTGACACAGACGGGGAAGGGGTTTGTGTCTCACTTCCCCATCTGCCTGTGTCACCGTGAGCATCAGCACCGCTTGCTGATGACAGACAGTAATAGTCAGCCTCGTCCTCGGCCCGGGCCCCGCTGATGGTCAGGGTAGCCGTGTTCCCCGAGTTGGTGCCTGAGAATCGGTCAGGGATCCCTGAGGGCTGGTTGCTATCAGCATAGATAATCGTCACGGGGGCCTGGCCTGGCTTCTGTTGGTACCAGTAAGCATATTTACTTCCAATGTTGTCTCCCCCACAGGTGATCCTGGCCGTCTGTCCCAGGCTCACTGACATCGATGGGGGCTGAGTCAGCACGTAGGCAGCCATGGAACCTGCAAGAGAGAAAACGCGAGGTGGGCTTTCACACTCAGGTCTCGTCTTTAGGACCCCCCACCCACGTGACCTAGATCGGAGTTTAGGGATACTCTGGACTTACACGGCACCCCTCCCATCAGTTTCAGCCCCTGGGGCCCCTGAGCATGGCTGGTGAATGGAGCCTTTGAACAAATAAGAATCCTGACCCTCTTTCCCTGGGTAGGTGCAGCCCCTAGGGCTCACGCAGAGCCCTCCAGCCCCTCATCCTGCAGCAGGGTCATGAGCATCTTGCCCCCCACAAGCAGTGCCCTGCTGAGCTCCATGTCAGGGCCAGGCTTGTGACAGTTCTGTGGGTCTGGGTGGGTGTGAGCCTGGGCTCAGCACCTGTGCAGTGAGCCAGGAATGCGAGGAGGAGAGGGGTCCAGGCCATGGTGCAGGTGCCCCGATTTTCTCCCTGAGGCACTAGGCTGGGCACATGCCTTCCCAGGCCTCTCTTATCCCCTTGCTGGAAACACCCGAAGGTTATGCAAATCATTTGGGGCTCAGGGGCTGCTGCTGAGGACCTTCGCGGTTTCAGAGAAGGCTTGGCCCCAAGGGGCAGAGAGAGGGAGGGGTGGGCCCTGCAGACCTACCATCAGCCCAGGGGATTCTGCTTTGCCCACTTGTCCCATAATTGGTTCTGAAATGTCCTTCCCAGATTTTCTCCTTTCCTTGCTCCTAGGTGACCATAAGAGGCTTAGGTCAGTGCAGTGTCTACCCAGACCCCTGTTTGTGAGCATCAGACATGAAGAAAATTCTTCACTTGCTAAGCACACATGGAGTTTTGCAAGAACCACTGAGGTGCTGTAGGTGATGTCCTCACGGAGAGCTCCTAGGGCAGGTCATAGATTCTGTGGCTCAGTATCCCCAGTGTGCACTCATTTCCTGGGATAGATGCAGTGCTTGAGCAATTATTGACAGTGACTGGTTTTTAGCATAAATGGGCTGGGCTGGAGAAAAGGTACTGGACCTTGTGCAGGAGACAGAGGCAAATTCTTAAAGAGACAGATCTGAGCGACACCGAGTCAATTTTTTGTTAGCGGTAAAGGTGACAGTATAGAAAGCCTATGACTTTTCCTTTAGGTCTCAGGTGGTGGTGACGAACCCTCCCTGGCTGTTAGAACCCCTGATGCCCGTACACACCCCATGTCCAGGTGAGCTCTGCTGCCCCCTAGAGGCCACTCCGCATTGGCGGCTGCAAGTGCAGGGAAGACCTTCCTCCAGGTGGAGATTCTGAATCCACTGCTCTGATCTTGAGTCCCTGATCCATGGACTTTTGGCTCCATGTGAGGAGTTGCTTTTAACTAAGTAGTCCCTGCCAGCCTCAAGGTCATGCAGGTGCTGATCAGGTTACCCATGAAAATATGAGCAGGCTCATTTAGAGGAGGAGAATGCAGGGCTCATCTGAAGTACGGGTTGTGGGTGGTCATGCATGTGGTTTTGGAGCTTGGTACTAGGGGACGCAGGACTCAGGGACAGCCTCTTACTGGTGCCAGCAGCTGGTGCAGGACCAACCTGGGGCAGAGGTGACTTGCTTCCAAGTCAGAGACAGGAGAACAGTCACTTAACAAACATTAATCAGACCCACTTTGGTCTGGCAGACATTCTATCCTGGAAATTAGTGTGAGCAAGATGCAGTCACTTTATCAATTTCCATCTCGAGTCTGGGGCTGCAGAGTGGATATATGTGCTTTGCTGATACAGCACATAGACTCCAACCCCTTCTATCTGCATCTTGTCTTCTACATTCTTTTAGAAGCCACACTATGGCTATTCTCAGATGCCACGTGGTCAGCGTTGACCCCATCCATGGCCCAGAGCTGACCAATGAATGTGTCATGTGCCTGGGGACCTTTTGGGGCACTTTTGCTCTTGTGAAGAAAAGAAACAGTATAAATGCATGTTGTGCTCTTTCCCTTGTACTTGGGTGTGATGGCTGGAGCTGCGGCAGCCATCCCTAGGTCCGCTCAACAATAAGGCAAAGCAAAGCCTCTATAGTAGTGATGGTGGGAGAAAAAGTGAGTACCTGGAGAACCACCATCTGACCTCAGACTTATTTCTGTGGGAGAAAAATAAGTATCTGAACATTCATGCCTCTTGTTGAGATGTGCGTGTATTGCCTTAATCTTCCTGACCAGTTAGGATGACAATAAACACAAAATGATCAATTAATAAAATAATTATAGAAGAACATGTGCAGTGTTGGGTGACGTGCAGAGAATGAAGTGACATCAGACAAAATGACAGGCAGGGAGTATGTGGGGAGAGGTTAGAGGAGGCCTCTCTGCAGAGGGGACTGTGGGGCTGCTGTCAGGATGGGAAGAAGGGGCAAGAACTGAAGTGTGTTTGGAGTCAGTCCCTCTGGAGAAGAGTCTGGTTAGTCTGAGGATGCAGGGACTGTGAGGACCTAGGTGTCTATGATTCCAAACTAGTTGAGCTCCAAGGTGACATTTTCTCCTAAGTTAAAAACTTGAGGGGCAGGTGTGATGGGTTAGAATCCTCATGCTGTATGTTTCCAGGAAAAGTGAAACACGAGGGGAGCCCTGTGTGAACCTCCCTGCGAACTGAGTGGGAAGTTGGAGCCCGTTTGTAGCTGGCAGTCAGTGTGGCTTCTCTGAGGCTCACCTGTGTGTTTTTGTGTGTGTCTCCGCATCACATCAAATTCCTGCCACACACCCCTTTATATTGATAGACGTACACAGACATGAGTATACTTGTATGTGTGCACATATATACTAATTGCGTCTGCTCTGTGTATGTTTGTAGATGTATGTGTGTGTACATCCTTTTGCAGTGTATACACATATATTTTCTAGAGATTCTGAACTCTGCCTGGGTACCGAAGGTGCAGTTGATGTGATTTTGGTTTTTTTAGGAGGCATGTGGTTACATTTTATCAGTAATGATAAGGTGGGTGTGGTTGCCACAAGAAATAGTGGGATCAAATACTAATCAGACTCATGTGACAGAGGACACTGGTATCATTTAGTTAATGATGCTATTCCTAGGCCTGAAATAGATGGACAGCTTACCAACTCTTCTCGTCCAGTAAAACGTGAGACCCATCCATAGCATTTCAACCTTGGTTGTCACCTAACAGTCACTACTCTGGTTATTTATTGGTGGACTGCCTTCTCCGGCCCCTAATTGTACCATATGGCCATGCTGTCAGTCTTTGTATTTCCTACCTACCGACTCCTCCGGTTTCTGATAACTCTGAATATCTCCTAGTCTGTGTATTCTCAGTCCAGGTGGGCTGCTACCTCCCACCCTCTGCTGATGGCATCTTTCCTCTTTCTACTGGCCAGGTTGGCCTTTTTAAACACTACTTGGTGTTAATGAACTGTAATTGAGCAAAGTTATAGTTAGCAGGGAGAGGGGAAGAAGGAATTCCTCCAGGGCTGCCTATCTCAGACTGCTACCTAAAGGAAAATATCGGGACTTAAGGGCTCCTGCACAATGGCTTACTAACATTATGAGCACAGACATCATTTTATATATCTGAAACCCCAAATTTTCCATCTATGTTTGTGGATAATAAAGCCTGTCCTGTCCCCATATGGTTGTTATGAGAGTGAGAGTGAGTCCACGATGAATGCAAAGGACTGAAAGTGTAAGCTAATGTCATCACTCTATTACTGAGAAGGTCCTGGTGCTGGCTTTTAGTCCCTTCATTTAAAAATGTACTTATTATATTATTTACACACAACTTGCATTTATTATTTTTAAAAAGTCCCTCTCCCTTTTCTGTGTCTCCTGAAAGCACAATAGTCAATGGACCTTCGAGTTACACTTTGTTGTAACCAAAGAATTGTACATCAGCTACTTGTCTTCCAGCTATTAAGGTAACACAAAAGTATTCGCCTGGCACTCTTGAGCATTTCCAGTCATTCTTCTACTCCACTCATCTGCAGTATTAAAGGTGCTTCCAGCGGAGCACACTGGGATGGAGGGGCATCTGCAGATTTCAAGGTTAGGGGAGAGGTCTATGTCAGGATGAGTTTATGCATGAACATACCAGCTTTTTGCAGAAGCATGCTCTTCATACTGAAAATAAATGCCACTGGGTACAGAATCACATGTGTTTATGAGATATTAATATTGATCTTTGCATATCGAATAAAAATGGCTGAACAGGCATTTTAATGTAGTGGAATGACTATTGATTCTTACCACTCAGGGAAGTATATTTGTTTCGTCTTTGGGATTCATTCTTCTAAACTAATGTGCGTGTGGGAGAGGGAAATGTGAATTTAGCATTTAGCATAAGAGACAATCTTGAGCATTTATTAAGCTACTATGTCTGGTGAGCTAAGGGAATCTATCTTTATTCAACATCTCTGTTTGTAAAACAGCAGTGCTTACCCCACACAAATGTCTTGGAGCTCTACTCTAAATGACAAAAATCAGTAAGAAAATTCATTGCTAGATTTCTCCTCAATTACCATGCCAGGCGCTTGATTCTTCACTGGGCAGCAGAAGGGGCTTATCTCACAGGAAGTTGTGGGGAGGGGAGGGGATGAAATTTAAAATAAATTCCAACTTAACTGTCACTCGCAACAACCATTTTGAAACTTATGAAAACGACTCGTTTTGCATATGTGCCAAGGTAAGAAAAGTCAAGTCAAGTTGGCCATAGTGTTCAGTAAGTCTTTACAGATTCCTAATTGGAGTTAGCCTCAAAAGGGAGAGAATGGAGTAAGAGTCTAAGACCCAATAGTTTCAGGTGCCCATCTGATGATCGCTCACGGTAACATTCCCTTTCCTATCCGCTCAGATAACACTGAAGCACTTGATCTGCTGCAAAAGGAGGTCCAAGGGTGATTTGAAGTCCTGGGTGGGGTCCTCAGGCCCAGAAATCAGGCCTCCAGGCCACTTAGACTTATTTGCCTGTTTTGTCCAATGTCAAACATTGTAAAGCCTTGATTTAAGAAATTCCTGATTTAGAAAACATGTTTTGGATGTAGAGGAAA